CAAAGCTTTCTTGGGCCCCTGAGTGGCTCAGTAGGTTAAGCAGCTGCCTTTGACTCAGGTCATGATCCCAGGGTCCTGGGATGGAGCCCCGCATTGGGCTCCCTGCTCAATGGGGAGCCTGCTTCTCCCTCTGCCTTTCTCTCTTTCACGAATAAATAAGTAAAATCTTAAAATAAATAAAAAAGACACAGCTTTCTTGAATCGTTGGTATGCTCTTCATAAGAAAATGTGAAAAAAAAAAGATTTTTTTTTCTTTTGTCTGCCCCCACAAACCCCCAGTTTCTGTTTTTGTCTTTATCAGGTCTTTGATTCCTAATCCTATTTAGGCACAGGCTATAAAAACTTTCTAAGGTTTTAACAAACTTCCCAAGATTTAAAATGTAAATGAGTGTCTTTAACTCATTAGGTCTTTTTATTTGGTATGGTACGTTACTCTGGAAGTACTGTTAAACAAATGATAAGCCTTGGGTTACATTTGGGTAAATGCTATAACTATTCTAGAAATAATATCCAGTTCCTAAAGTTTCTTGATTTTTTTAAAGCTTTTAATTATTTATTTGACGGGTCAAGAGAGTATAAGCAGGGGGAACAGTAGAGGCATAGGGAGAAGCAGTCTCACCACCATGCAGGGAGCCTGATGTGGGGCTTGATCCCAGGATCCGGGATCATGACCTGAGCCAAAGGCAGATGCTTAACCAACTGAGCCACTCTGGCACCCCTAAAGTGGTTTTTTTTTTTTTTTTTAAGGTTTTAATTTATTTGAGAGAGCAAAATCATTCACAGTGGGAGAGGGATGACAGAGGAAGAGGGAAAAGGGAGAAGCAGACTCTCCACTGAGCAGGAAGCCTAATGGACTCAATCCAAGTATTCTGGGATCATGACTTAGCCAAAGGCAGACCTTAACCAACTGAGCCCACCCAGCTGCCCCAGTTCCTAAAGTTTTAATATATTCTGGTATAAGATCATCACTTAATATTTTGATTATTAAAGTGTTAAGTGTCACAGAAATAACTGATTTCCTTGCCAGACATTTTTTAAAAGATTTTATTTATTTATTTGACAGACAGAGATCATAACTAGGCAGAGAGTAGGCAGAGAGAGAGGGGAATGTAGGCTCCCCGCTGAGCAGAGAGCCCTATGTGGGGGTTGATCCCAGGACCCTGAGATCATGACCTGAGCCGAAGGCAGAGGCTTAACCCATTTAGCCACCCATGCGCCCCATTGGCAGACATTTTGTAACCTCTCCTCAGGTTTTTTTTTTTTTTAATTTTTAAGATTTTATTTATTTATTTGACACTGAGAGAGAGACAGCAAGAGAGAGAACACAAGCTGGGGGAGCGGGAGAGGGAGAAGCAGGTTTCTGGCTGAGCAGGGAGCCCAGTGCAGGGCTGGATCCTAATACCCTGGGATCATGACCTGAGCTGAAGGCAGACACTTACGCACTGAGCTACCCAGGTGCCCCCTCTCGTCAGATTTTTAACCATGTCCATTTTTTAGTTTTTTGTCATTTATAGTTTTTGTAACTCTTGGTTGAAACATTGCTGGTTCTCTAACCGTTCTTTCATACTAAGAAAACTTTCTCTTAAGACATCACTGATACATAGAAATAATAAAACGAATTGAGGCATTTAACTTTTCTCTCTACCTAAACCCTCTGAAATTCAAAGGGTCTATCAGTAAGTATTCTTTCTTCCATGGCAATCAGAGTCATTTTCCCAAGTTCAATAGAATCTGTTCTCCTTATAACAGGACACCATTAGAAACATTGGTTATTTTACCAAGGCTTTAACTCTAATGTCATATTTGAAAGAGATATGCACAGACTCAGATATGACCAAACAGTTTTAAGGAACTAAGGAAGATGTTACAAAAGATGAGAACCTCCACCTGCAACAACCTTGAAGATTTAAGGACCAAAATTGTTTACGGGGCAAATGATGAGTAATCAGAAGGCTGGCTGAAGACAAAGTATAAGCTGACACCCTTAGACCTCCCTCCCTCCCCCTGCCTCCACCCTGGGGTGGGATATGTGTGATATTCTTCCAGGAAGCTACCCAATAAAACCTTGGTCATGAGCCCCTTGTTTTGCTGTGTATCAATGGGTCATATGCCTGGGGATGTGTATTGGTGTGATGAGGGAGAAGAAGTCAAGCTGAGGACAGAGCATTCCTGGGTGGGATGTGTGTAATGTTCCTCCAGGAACTTCCCAACTATCTTCATGTTCATACCTTGCTAGAGGGGAAAACAACCTTAACTTGACAATGGCCAGGCCTCTACTACCCGGTAGGTCCTCTGTAGCATATGAATGTTCTTTTGAAAACCTCCCTTTTCCTTACCTCCCCCAGCTCCCAAGTATATCATCAGCCACCTCTCCGTAGCTCTTTATGCCCACAGGTTCTTTCCCTGTTCTTTTTTTTTTTTTTTTTTTTTTTTTATTTTTTTAAAGATTTTTATTTATTGATTTGACAGAGAGAGATCACAAGCAGACAGAGAGGCAGGCAGAGAGAGAGAGGGAAGCAGGCTCCCTGCTGAGCAGAGAGCCTGATGCGGGACTCGATCCCAGGACCCTGAGATCATGACCTGAGCCGAAGGCAGCGGCTTAACCCACTGAGCCACCCAGGCGCCCCTCTTTCCCTGTTCTTTAATAAAACCACCCTTTTGCACCAAAAATGTCTCAAGTATTTTCTTGGTCATTGGCTTCGGATCTCACCCCACCAAACCTCACCTACATTCCCAAATGACATCCAGTGGGTCATATACTTGGGGAATGATTGCCAACGTGCGTCTTGGGGAGTAGAGATAATGGAAGTTTCCAAAGGAATTTTTATTTATTTATTTATTTTTTTCAAGATTTTATTTACCTACTTGACAGAGAGAACACAAGCAGGAGGAGTGGGAAAGGGAGAAGCAGGCTTCCCGGTAAGCGGGGAGGCTAGTGTGGGGCTTGATCCCAGGATCCCAAGATCATGACCTGAGCCGAAGGCAGACACCCAACCACTGAGCCACCCAGGCGCCCCTCCAAAGGAATTTATATTTTTTTATTTTTTTAAAGATTTTATTTATTTATTTGACAGACATAGATCACAAGTAGGCAGAGAGGCAGGCAGAGAGAGAGGAAGGGAAGCAGGCTCCCTGCTGAGCAGAGAGCCCGATGTGGCACTCCATCCCAGGACCCTGGGATCATGACCTGAGCCGAAGGGAGAGGCTTAACCCACTGAGCCACTCAGGCGCCCCCTCCAAAGGAATTTTTATATGTTAAAGTAGACTTACAGGATCCTGATGGGTTGGTATAAGATTGCCTTTTGCTGTTAGCAAAGTATTAACATCGAGGCAGCTGAGTCCCTAGAGGAATGTCACCCTGTGTGTTTCAAGGACTTGTCAATGGGCTGTAGGTAGTAAGGAAATTTAATAATTTTCTTCTGCCTTTGTTTCCCACATCAATAATGATACTGTGTTTTTTATTTTTTTAAGACTTATTTATGGCAGAGGGGACAAAGGGAGAGGGGAGAACAGCAGACTCCCTCCTGAGTGGGGAGCCTGTAGTGGGGCTTGATCTCATGACCCTGACATCCCTGTATAAGCAGAAACCAAGAATCTGATGCTCAACCCACAGAGCCACCAAGGTGCCCTCATACTATAGTCCTGTAGGATATTGTTTTTATTCCGAGGACATACATGTGACGGAATTTTGGAGTGTTGTTGAAATCCAGTCCACCAAGTACAAATTTTCTTTTTTAAGTTTTATTTATTTATTTATTTATTTATTTATTTATTTATTTTTAAAAGATTTTATTTATTCAACAGAGATCACAAGTAGGCAGAGAGAGAGAGAGGAGGAAGCAGGCTCCCTGCCGAGCAGAGAGCCCGATGCGGGGCTCGATCCCAGGACCCTGAGATCAAGACCTGAGCCGAAGGAAGAGGCTTAACCCACTGAGTCATCCAGGCGCCCCACAAATTTTCTTTTTTTTAAGATTTATTTATTTGACAGAGAGAGAGCGAGATCACAGACAGAAAGGCAGGCAGAGACAGAGGGGGAAGCAGGCTCCCCACTGAGCAGAGAGCCCGATGTGGGGCTCAATCCCAGGACCCTGAGATCATGACCTGAGCCGAAGGCAGAGGCTTTAACCCACTGAGCCACCCAGGTGCCCCCAAGAACAAATTTTTGATATGTGTTTGGTGCAAAAAAACCCACGTGATTTTATTAAAGCACAGGGATGGGACCTGTGGTCAGAAAGAGCTGCTGTACTGGGTTTGTGTCGAATGGTTGATTATATATATATACCTGAGAGTCAGGGGAGGTAAGGAAAAAGGGAGGTATCTAAAAGGACTTTTCACAAACTAAAGGAGACCCTATGGACACTGGAGGCCTTGCTACTGTCTAGCTAAGGTTGTTTTCCCCTCTAGCAAAGCATTAACGTGAAGCTAGTTGGGAGTTTCCTGGAGGACTGTCACACACCACCCACCCAGGAGTTGGGGGGCGGGTGGGTTGCAGGGATCAGCTTCTGCTTTGTTCTCAGGCTTCTGCTCAGCACATGTGACAGCACTTAATTAAGAAATGAGTTATGAGCGATCATGGTGTTTGTAGCTTACTTTTAAACCATTCAATAACAGACCAACTTCCTTTCACGGGGTTCAACAACAATACCTACATACCTGGGGAGAGAAAACGAGCAGAAATGGCGAAATGCCAAGAACTGTCTGATCTCGGAAGAGGGTATACAGGTATCCACCGCACTGTTCTCTCACCTCTCCGTCTGCATACAAACTATCATAATTAGCCGCTGGGCCAGTGTGTGTAACACCGCCACTCCTCGCGGAGAGGCTTGGGGACCGGCGGTGGCCAGCCCTGGGGGTCCGGAGGCACAACCTCCCCCCGCGTGCCTCTCTAGCCCTCCTCTCCGCCGCACCGGGTCTGGGCATGCTCAGAGGCCCCGCGCACCCGCCCCGCCCCTCGGGCGTACGCGTGCGCGCACGGCGCAGGCGCGCGGCTCCCGGCTGCGCGCGAGACGGTAGCTGCCGGACGCGGCGGACCGCTGAGGTGCGGACCTGAGGAGATGGAGCCCCCAAAGGTGGAAAAGTTCAGCACCGCCAACAGGGGAAACGGGCTGCGCGCCTTGGCGCAGCTGCGCCCCGGAGAGCTGCTCTTCCGCTCGGATCCCTTGGCGTACACGGTGTGCAAGGGGAGTCGTGGCGTCGTCTGCGACCGCTGCCTCCTCGGGTACGTGCGGAGCGCCGTCGCCCACCCGAGCCCCGGGCGGCGTGGGTTCGGCATGCGGGGGACGTAGTGGGGCTGCCCGCCGCGGGACCCTGCCCGGTCGTGGGTGCGCCCGTTTGGGGGTTGCTGCCCAGGTGCTCAGCCCCGCGTTTCCCGGGGCGCGTCGCGGCTGGCAGGGGGCTGGGTGCGGGGGGCTGGGGGGCGTCCCAGGCTCAGCCCCAGCCGCTCGGTGGGGCCGAGCCGGACCCGCTAGCACCCCCCGCCCGTGCCCCCGGGCTGCCGTAGGAACTGGAGGGAGCCGGTGGGGCAGAGCTAAGGGGCCGCGTTGTGCTGCGGCTAATTTTACTGGGGAACCAGAAGTCTGTGTCCTGGGCGGCACGCTTCATCGGTGCGGCCCCGGAGGTCACAGCTGGCTGGGGGTGGTGGTGGGGGCGCAGGGATGTGTGCCCACCGGGCTCGGTAGTCGGGACCCGCCAGGAGAGGACCCGGCTGGCGGGAGGCGGAAGAATCTCGGTGTTTACCGAACACTTTCCAGGGTCCAGGTTGTGTTCCGCCCGGAGCTCTGGACGTGAACGGGGCATCCCTACGGAGCGCATCAGTGAGAGCGAGAATTACCTACAGCGAATCCGAAGGGCTGAACTTGAGGTGCAGTACAGTGCTGTGGGAGCCTAAGTTACTGAGGTTCCATGATGTGCTTTGCATTTAATGGCTGTGCAGGCAAGTCTAAGTCTTAACCACCTTTCGGGATGCGAGAATTCATGCGAAAGTGTTTCATAAGCCTGGAAGCCCTGGGCCAATGTAAAGTGCTATGTTAAAGCAATTTATGGAAACACGGTGTGTGTGTATACACACACACACACACACACACACACACACACACACAGAGTCATAGGACTTGTGTCAAGCAACTAATGTTACTGAGCTCCTATTCTCTGCCAAAGAGGAGATGGGTGGGATGATTTTTCGCAGGACTACCCTTCAGATCTCCTAGCCTGGGATTTGGGTGGGTGGAGGTGAGGAGGTAGTTGCAGAATTCAGATCGGTAGTTTGACCATTAATCTTTTTTTTTTTTTAAATTTTTAATGATTTTTATTTTTTTATTTATTTGAGAGAGAGAGAGAGAGAGAGAGCGCATGAGAGGAGAGAGGTCAGCGGGAGAAGCAGACTCCCTGCTGGGCAGGGAGTCTGACGTGGGACTCAATCCCAGGACTCCAGGATCATGACCTGAGCTGAAGGCAGTCGCTTAACCAACTGAGGCACCCAGGTGCCCCTTGACCATTAATCTTAACCAGTTCCTTATTTGACTGGTAATTGAGGAATTTATTTATTTAACTTTGCATTTTAAAGTTACTAAGTAATAGTAACAATTGTATCTGTAGCTTCCTGATATGACCATAATAGTAACAGTAAAAAAATCAGTTGAGAGAGCACTTTCGAGTTTTTGTAAACGTCAAAACGTAAAAAAAAGTTTTGAAAACAGTTAATTTAGGACTCGACTATTTGCTGAAGGCCTCCAATTGAAAGTTATAGATCTTTGATTCTTATTCAAGCAAAGTGGAGACCTGGGCTCTTCTTCCTCCTGTTAAATCATCTGCGGGTGTATCTCAAGTTCGAATGTAGAGAACTTGCTGCCCTGTAATAGTAGGTGATGGAGAGAGGAGGTGTGGGTTGTCTTCCAGATGAGATCAGACTGGCAAAGTTATTTAATAGTTGAGATGGAAAAGTTTTGGAATTAATACATGATGACAGATGATTCACTGAATTACCAGAGCTGAACTTGAGTCATGTGATACACAAATTGTCTGTTTTCCAAAGTAGACTATGCAGACCCAGCTGTTGGTGGGTGGGGCGCTTCTTTATTTACTATGCTATTTCATTACTGTTGGCTATTACTCCTATAGCTCATTAACGAGACATTACTTGGTTAGTAATGCTTTAAGCAAAAAAGGAATTTCAGGTAAGAGCATTGGGGAGATCTCAGCATTACTTTGAGGTCTGGAGGAACCCCAGTTCTGAAAGTGGGTAGGAACCAAGGGGAGTTCCATAGTCAGAATTACACTTCAGAAGTAGTTGGGAGTTGGGACCTGAAGAGTACATCATTTGTGATGCAGCCTGGTAGTGCTGGCTTCTCCCACATGTGTTACCAGCACCGCGATCCTGGGCCCTGCTGCCGTTACTCTTGCCACTGCTTTGGGGAAATGGATTATTGTTGGAACGATGCTTTCTCATCCATGCTTCTTTGTGGTATTAGCTTCTGATTCAAAATCCTCAGTGGTGTCTTGGATTAGCTGAGATTGGGTCACTGCCTGCATCCTTGCTGCAAGAGAGTTTGAGAAGGTGACTGTTAGGACTTCTTGGCTTTTAGGAAAGGAGGCAGTCTTTGTTCCCACCAATATGTATTATAATGGGGGAATTAGCAAACATAAAGTAAGAAAAGGATATCAGTAAATACCAAGCACCCAAACAAAAACAAAAGGAGTTTTCATACTGATACACACTTGTTTAGTAGTGCTTTACACAAAAAAATACATTTGCGCTTATTTATTTATTTACTTGCCCTTACTTTGGTATAGCTGACCTGAGCTGTGGTAGTAGGTGCTCCGATGAACACTTCTGCGTCAGTGGTTAGTATTTCTGCAGTGCCTAGTTGAGAATCAGCACAGCCTGAAAACAGTGTTAGAGAAATCAAACTGTGGTGCATTATTTCATGCAGTTTTCTACTACAATTGAATGACCATCACTGGGGTAAAGTTTCTGTGTTCTTTATCACCTTGTAAGTAAAATTTGTTTGTTCATCATCAGTTGTGAAGGCCTCTAGAGTAGGTGTTACATCTTTTCAATTTTTGTAGCCCCAAGTGCCTGACACATAGTAAGTTTTTTAGTTTTTTAGTTTGTGTTAAGAACATCTGGCTGAATTTTCCTCTAGCTGTTCTTGCCTTTCTGCTGTCTTCCATTTGAATTAAATGGGATGAAAATACTCATTTGTAGCAATAACAGTCTGGGTGGGGGTGGCAACATAAAATAACAGATTTATTATAATTTATTATTTCATTCTACCACCTGATTTCCTTTGGTCTTGGGCTATTTGAAAAGGGCTTTAGTTCTCGCATATTGATTTTTATTAATAGAGAAACTTGAATGAACCCGCTTCATGGCTTTTCTTCCCTTTTTCCTCTCAGTAAGGACTGGTCTTTCATCTTGTGAGTAGAAAAAAAATGAAGTATGTAAATTGCAGAAAGATTAAATGATATAAAGTTGTGACCTGAAATAATTTATATGATCCTTTTTTCTGCAGTAGCTCACCTCTTTAGTTTGACCTGGAAAAGACTGACAGAGGGGTTACTTGTGTTTTCCGTTTTCATAAATCCAGCATATAAAATTCCATTGTAATTATTTTGTTTGTAGGTCTACCCACTTTAGTGACCCAGTTCCCTAATCTTATATCCTTGGAGCCTAGCACACAGGAGATGCTAACAGTTAAAGTTGTGAAGGGATAGTATTTAAGGCAATTTTAAGTCACCGTATGTTTGTTTTTGTTTTCTAAAGTTACAAGTTGCCTGTAGTTTCGGTATCAAGAACTTCTTCTGATATACTCTGGTGATAGTTTCTTTTCTTGGGTAAAGAGGATATGATTTCTCTTCCATCATTAAGGCTGAGCTTGAGGCTTAGTACCTTCCGTCAGGGAGGAGGATGAATTGGAAATTGAAAGTTCATCTTTTCCAGCCCTGAGAAAGCCCTGGTAAATTATGGGAAGAAAGGGGACAAAGGTAGGGAAAATAGATTATGAGAAATACAAGTTTGGGGATTTTTTGGAACCATCTTTTTTAAAAATTTAATTTAATTTAATTCTTAAAAAATATTTTTATTTATTTATTTATTTGACAGACAGAGATCACAAGTAGGCAGAGAGGCAGGCGGGGGGGGGGGTCTGGCTCCCCGCTAAGCAGAGAGCTGGACTCAGGGCTCAATCCCAGGACCCCGGGATCATGACTTGAGCCGAAGGCAGAGGCTTTAACCCACTGAGCCACCCAGGTGCCATGAAAGATCTTTTTTTAAAAAGTAATCTCTATACCCAGTGTGGGGCTTGAACTCAAAACCCTAAGATCAAGAGTTACACATTCCACTGACAGAGCTGCCCTTGAAGTATCTGTTTTGAGTTTCCTCGTCTGGCCCGAGTTTTGGAGTTGGGGTGAGCGTGTTCAGTAGGTTGAGGGGTCAGTCAAAAGTAGAAGGCCTTTGGCTGTGCTCCTTATTTGGAATCTTAAGCCGGGGGATAGCTGTGCGGGTTGGTGCTGTTCCATCTTGGGGATATAGCACAGCAGTGGTAGAAGGAAGTGGCTAGACAGATGAGCCTGTGGTAGCAGGGGAGTCTGAAATGCTCTCGTATCACTGGGTGGGATGTGGAGGAGCTGGTGGGACAGCAGGCATCACACAACTCCAGACTGAAGGTCGGGGTCATGGATACAGTGCTGGGAGCAGGCCTGACATCCCAGAAAGTGAGAAGGCAACAGTCCAGGTATGGGACATGATCACCTCTTTGCAGCAGAGGTCAGTGAAGATCCACAGAAATACCAAGATCCTAGGTCTTCTTGCCACCATAAGGTTGTGTCCCTTAAGCCCCATTTGGAGAAAATTTACCTGAAAGCACCTATTTAAACCAGCTTGGTTAAGGAATTAAACTTAAATGTCTGAATATTAACTGGAAGAGACAGAGATATTTGGCAAATTTTAAGTTTCTGGCTATTTCCTAGGGTGAGTGTTCATGAGGAAGTTTAGACTAAGTATAGAAAAAACAACCCATGTCCATGAGACAGAGTTGATCAATTAATAGAAAATAAAGCAGCTACATTTGAGTTGCAGTGTGAGTAGATATGACCAGGCAATAAAGGGCAAGAAAAGGACACTGTGGTGAGTTGATGTAATCCATCTTCACCAAGGACTGAGCCTGGGGGAAGGCAGGAATACCTTTATATACTGAGGTTGGAAGAAGAGTGCTAGAGAAG